AACCAGCTTTTTGGAGCATTACCGCCACCGTCTGGATTGGAGTTTGGATCAGGAGTTTAGTAACGCATGTGTTTATTATGAAACCAACTTCTGCTTAAAAAAAAACAGTCAGCACAGGAGCGTGCTATCTCAAAAATAAGCGAATTTTACATAGTTTTTCTCTAGATGACATGTATAATCTATTTATAAATAATATTGTTTTGTTTGCGTCTAAACATTGCGACCATCCACACTAAATATTCTTTTTTTTTTTTTTTGCTATCGTACCATGAATATTTTCTCAAATTATCATTAAACGTGGAGCTAACAGATTACTAGATAAAATAAGAACTTAATCGGTTGCCATCAGCCGAGTCCTTGCCAGAAGCGGCCAGAATATGGTTGACCGGAATCGGGCCAGTGCTTTACAGCCGCATCACAACCGCATGTGCGCGAGCAAGCTGCGGGCCGCACTCGGCCCGGATAACACTCGCCGATGCCGAGTCGGAGTCGGAGCTCGGGCCGATTACTGCCTGCTATCTGGGAATTGACTTGCTCGAGAGACGCAACAGAGATGAAATCTCACTAATTAATTATAGCACAGTCTGTCTGGACACAATATTCATTAACACGGACCATATAAGCTTGGCGCCAAATGTAGACAAACCCAAGCGTCAGGTTAAATGTGTGGATTTCCATATAAATATGGACAAATGTAAAAAATAATTACAATTTTTTTTTACATAATATGTTTGATTTATTTAATAAGTTAAAGGGATAGTTAACCCAAAAATGACAATTTCCTTACCATTTAATTACACTCAGTGGTTCAAAAACTTTCTGCAATGTTTACTTTTTTTTCTGTTGAACACAAAACAATATTCTGAATAATTCTGAAGATATTGTTATTGGTGTAGGAACAAAACAAGGCTAGGAGTTTTTTCAACCAGCACGGTGATTCAAATTGAATACCACAACTTTGAAAATCTGTATTTAATCAAAGAAACATGATGGAACCTTGGTTTATTAATCAATGTGAAGAGTACAAATTTAAAACCCCATAGCTTCCTTAAATCAATGACAGAAAGAGCTTAGTTCTCCTTTTTTTCTTTGCAGGGTTCTCATTTTTCAAATTTGTGGAATTTTTTTTTTTTTAATCACTCTGTACTGTATATTCTCTTGTGTTCAATAGAAGAAAGAAACTCAAGCAGATTTTAAACGTGAAAAGTGCAGGATGAGTTAATGATGGCACAATTTTCATTTTGGGTAAACTATTCCTTTAATTTATTAAATAAATCAAATATATATTATGTAAAAAATAATAATAGACCCTTTTCACATTTGCGGATTTCTTAGTAGCGAAAGGTGTCTTATTGGTAAACTTAGAGCGCAGTGAACTGGTGAGTAAAACAAAATTTTTTCTTACAACCCTATTCGTTGTAATAATAAAAGTAAAAAAAAAATTAGTGAAAAAAAACCATGGTGTTATCAAATCTTTTAGAAAAAGGAAAAAAAATTGACTGATGATGGCAGCCAAAGGAGAGAATAACGTCAAATTCACTCAGCTCCACGCTGCATTAGAAACCCCTCACACAATCGATAATTTATTTTTTGCACCTTGATGCAAAGATGATATAAAACATCTTTCATACGTTCAGACGTTATTAAAAAAATCAGATAAAATATATTTAAAATATATTTAAGATTATGATTACCATTAAATGGGTCATAACAATCTTGTAAAAAGGGTCCATGTTATTTCATTTGATTTGTCCATATTTATATAAGGAAATCTAAACATTTAACTTGATGGTTGGGTTTGTCTACATTTGTTGCCAAGCTTGTATTATATGTATTTGTATTTAAAACTTAAAAGACACTAAAATTACTGGTTACTGACTGCTTATCCAAAGTTTAAATAAACATACTGTACATAGGTAACATTAAGTAAACATACTCAATAGTTATATACTGTACAAAATAGAAATATTTAAAAATATGAGACAGGGAGCATGCAAATATAACGAGAGTGTAATAGTGCGTCAGTGTCAAGCTGTTGCCTAAATATATGAACCTGTTAGCCAAATGTGACAATGGATATTGGAATACTTATAAGTGTATATATACTATACAATAGGTGGTGGATTTAACCAATAAGCAAGGTAAGTGGCTACTTAGGGCCCCAGGAAATCTGGGGGCCCCCAATATATATCTAGAAGTATAAACTATACCTATAAACTAGTCAAATATTATTTACTGTCATCATGGCAAAGATAAATTAAATCAGTTATTAGAAATGAGTTATTGAAACTATTATGTTTAGAAATGCGTTGAAAAATCTGGTCTCCGTTAAACAGAAATTGGGGTAAAAATAAAAAGGGGGGCTAATACTTCTGATTTCGACTGTATATATAATATTGTCATCTACCATATTTGTTATGATGAGAGTTAAATAAATACAAATTTAATGTTATTAAATATTATTTTGTATAAAATCAAATCAAATATTTTTATAATAATGTAATGTTATGTAATAGTAATATTACCAAATAAAATATCATTTAGCAGTC